CAAAGCATTATTATTCCTTGCAGACCACATGATCGGGTTCCATTAAGAGAAATGAAGGCTGATTGGCATTCTTGTCTCAGTAACAAAGTTGGATTTAAGGTCAGTTATAAATTGTTTCATCCAGTGTGGGTAACTTGTATTCATAATCTTTGGTACAATTAAACGATCTGGTTGTCTAAAATTTATTATTTAATAATTTTCTGTTTCCTGTTTAAAAACTTTTTAATGTGGTAAATTGAGTCAAGGAAGTTCATGCTATTTCATTACATGTAGATTTTATGTAATCAGTATCTGGTTCTAATGATGTACTTTGTGACTTCCATACAAATTGGCTGAGAAATAGGCAGCAGCTTTATGTTTTTCCCTGAACAGTCAATGTTGGTCACCATCCTTGTTGCTCAAATTTCATCTTGGCTAGATTTAAATGAAAGTTATTGATTACCTTTAGCTATTTCAAGTACACTGCTATAATGAAATTTCCGTATCACCTCCATAACATCGACCAGTAACAGCACCACCTTTTACTGGCCACTATTTTCATCAGTACCGGTTCTGTTCCATCTTCCATCGGCTGTTGATTACACTGGCCATAATGAGTGCTCTAACTTCTGTTGTTGTTGCTTATGCAACCTTAATGAATATTAAGCCTCTACCAATCAGTCTACCCAAACAATTGCTTTTAGATCTGAGCCCTGCCTCCACCATAGGTTCTATGATGTCCACCCCACCTCCCTTCCCCCAGTTGTTGATGTGTGTGGACAAAAGGGTAGTGTATTGGGGATGTGGGTGAATTAACACCATTTACATTTTGTGTAGGAAATGATAATTTGCATTAGATAACGAACCTAATGTATCCAATCTTAATATGATTGAAGGGATTCTGACCTCTCTTGGAAGCTGCTGCTTCTTCTTTTTGGTTAATTTTTGGGTTGGGATGATAGCCACATTTCTGTACTTCATCTGTTTATTGCTTTTCTACAAATTATCTTCCTAATTTGATATGAACACAGGGCTTTGCTGTGCCGAAAGAGGCACAGGACAAAGTGGCAAAGTTCTCATTCCATGGACTGCCAGCAGAGCTGAAGCATGGTAGTGTTGTGATTGCTGCAATCACAAGCTGTACCAATACATCAAATCCCAGTGTCATGCTAGGTGCTGCTCTTGTTGCTAAGAAGGCTTGTGAACTTGGTTTAAAGGTTAGGCATGCATAAACTTGCTGTACTTTTGAAATCTGTAATCTCATCTATCTGGCAAAAGCATTTGTTTTTGCCCATATTTTATTTCTACGAATGTGAAAGCTACTGTAGTGTTGAATTATTCTGTAACAATGACTTCTTAATTGTTCACCAGGTCAAACCATGGATAAAAACAAGTCTTGCCCCAGGCTCTGGAGTTGTTACAAAATATTTACAGAAAAGGTATTTCCTGTTATTTACTGAATAATTTGATTTGTTTTAAAATAATCTAATGTAACTTCTTTTTGATTTTTCCATACCTGAGGAAAAGATGAGCTAATTATGGTTTTATTTATTTTTTATTTTGTAGTGGGCTGCAAAAGTATTTTAACGAGCAGGGTTTCCATATTGTTGGATATGGCTGCACAACATGTATTGGAAATTCTGGGGATTTGGATGAATCTGTTGCTTCTGCAATTTCAGAAAATGGTAAGTTTGAGATTATATTCAAACTGTGATTTAAATAATGGATGATGAGTCATACTCAAGCACATTTGGGTGTTAAATCATCAGTTCTTTGACAGCTTCTGCATCCTTCCATTTCTGATTACTTCCTTGCTTTTTCTATACAGACATTCTTGCAGCTGCTGTGCTTTCTGGTAACCGAAATTTTGAGGGCCGTGTTCATCCCTTGACAAGAGCCAACTATCTTGCTTCACCTCCTTTAGTGGTAGCCTATGCCCTTGCTGGCACGGTATGTTTATCTCTTAGAGTATGCTTGTTTTGTAGTCAAAGGAGTTCATGTAAACCTTATTTCAGAGAGTTCAGGGAGAGAGGAATGGAAGTTGATAGGTAAAGGGGATTAAGTTTTGACCTTGGTAGGAGTTGGCTAAAATGTTTTGAGTGGCAGAGGTCTTCTTCAATGTTTTTTCTCCCTTCCTCAAATTTAAACCATGCATGACTTACATTTAGTGTTGTGCCCCAGTAACATATATTTTTAAATATTTTCTAATTAAATATTGCTCAAGGTTTATTTTTGTCCTCTCTGACGTCCACTAGTAGACTTTTAACTTCCACCAAACACTCTTTAACCTTCCACGCCTTTATACTCTTTACACCCTTACCACTTTACCCTTAAACGTTTCACCCTAGTTCTTTGCACGCCATGTGAAATTCAGTTTAGCTGCCCCAAGTTCCCAACTTTTGTCTCTGTGATGCTATTGAATAAGGATTGTTAAGCACATTTTTGTAGTGTGGGATGGTGAAGGGTTTTTTCTGCCCATATCCTAATTTACATAACACCATAATTTTATGTTGAACATTTTGCATTATGTTTGCTTTATGAGGATCCAGGTTATCTGCAGTGGTTCCATTGGAAATTTCATTCTTATTGTTGCTGCTCTTCATCAATAAGGTGACATGAAAATGTTTTCCAGGTTGACATTGACTTTGACAAGGAGCCAATTGGAACAGGGAAGGATGGTAAGAGTGTCTATTTTAAAGATATCTGGCCAACAACAGAGGAAGTTGCAGAGGTATATATTGTCAATTTTTGGATATTGTAACACAGTTTTTTAATATTAAGTATAACTGCTGGTATGGAGTGAAATTCACTTGGGATGCATACTGTTCAGGTCGTTCAATCCAGTGTGTTGCCTGATATGTTCAAAAGTACATATGAGGCTATCACAAAGGGCAATCCCATGTGGAATGAACTAACTGTACCAGCTGCAACTTCCTATGCATGGGACCCAAACTCAACCTATATTCATGAGCCCCCATACTTCAAGAACATGACCATGAATCCTCCTGGAGCTCATGGGGTGAAGGATGCATTCTGTTTGCTTAACTTTGGTGATAGTATCACGACAGATCACATTTCTCCAGCAGGAAGCATCCACAAAGACAGTACTACTGCAAAGTATCTCCTTGAGCATGGGGTGGATCGCAAAGACTTCAACTCTTATGGAAGTCGTCGTGGAAATGATGAAGTGATGGCTAGGGGAACTTTTGCCAATATTCGCCTTGTTAACAAATTTTTGAATGGGGAAGTGGGACCCAAGACTGTCCATATTCCTACAGGCGAGAAACTCTATGTGTTTGATGCGGCAATGGTAAGTCTCTCGGTATTAGATGTTACACAATTTCCCATCCTGAGCTTTCGCCTAAATTCCGGACCTCCAATGTCAGTATCATTCATTTGTAGTTTACTTTATGCCAGCAAAAGCAATAATAGAGGAGCTCTAGGTGGACTGCAGATGCCTTTTATAGAAAAGTGCCCTATGAATTTTCCGATAGTTTAAGTGTATTTGCTTTGTTGTTTTATACACCAAAGCATTTTTTAATTGTCAAAGACATGATATTAGTCTGAAGTGGTTTCCTGTAATTATCTGTGCCAAAATATCCTTTTCTGCAAAATCCCATGTTTTTGAACTTAGATTTATGATTTCTATTCTTCAACCTGATCAATCTACTATTTCAGAGGTACAAGAGTGCTGGATATGACACCATTGTTTTGGCTGGAGCTGAGTATGGAAGTGGAAGCTCCAGAGATTGGGCTGCCAAGGGTCCCATGTTATTGGTGAGTCTTTACATTCATCATTTCAGTGTGAATAGGTTGCTACCCATCCAACTCTTTTAAATTTCAACAGTGATCTTCGACTGCGGATGGACCCTTGTACAAACTGTCTTATGGGCTTAATCTTTTGTAGGGAGTTAAAGCAGTGATTGCCAAGAGTTTTGAGAGAATTCATCGCAGTAATTTAGTGGGAATGGGAATTATTCCACTCTGTTTCAAGGCCGGTCAGGATGCAGACACACTAGGATTGACTGGCCATGAGCGCTATTCTATTGACCTTCCAAGTAACATCGATGAGATAAGACCTGGCCAAGATGTGACTGTCACAACTGACAATGGGAAATCCTTCATATGCACAGTTCGCTTCGACACTGAGGTGATTCACTCTTTCTTAAGCTCTATATTATTTGAAATTCATGTTTGATTATGGTGAAACATGGGGATTGCTCAAGTTTTTCATGGAAATTGAGGAAGTGATTTAGGAAATATATTCGTTCACTTTATTCAAGGTTTATGAACAACATGGACAAAATATCAATAATACCTTTGCTCATGCATGGTGTTGGCAATCCACTAAAACGTTGCGGATCATGGAAATTTTTGCCACTCTAGGAATATCAAAACAAAACTATTTGACCCTACCAAACTTTATCATAATCTTTTATACTAATGCACCCTACTCTGAATAAAATCTCATCGTTAAACTGGAGAGTTTTGGCCTTATTTACCTTGGCCTGTGCTTACGCATCGAACTGTAGAAGGGCTTGGAGCTAATAAAGTCGTGCAAGAAACAGATGGTAGGCTAAAATTGACCTTCGGGTCAGATTATACATGTGGCTGATGCATTTAGATAGCTGCGGCGTAGTAAAAGATTTTTTTTTTAGTGCCACTTGGATGCTATTTTATATCTACACGGGTAGGATTGAGTTGCCTTCTGCTGTCCTTTTTTGAGTGTGCATTATTGTAAATTGTTGAATGTTACATGGAAGTGGACACGCGGACCCTTTTTGCAATTATAGAATGCCTGTGCTTTTTTATTTTCCAACTAGACCCTGTATTTTTTTCTTCTTAGTTCTTTGTTAGTTCTTCATCTCCTCATACATGAAAGCTGATTCCGTTGATTAAAACTGCAGGTGGAATTGGCTTATTTCAATCACGGAGGCATTCTTCAATACGCTATTAGGAATTTGATGAAGCAGTGACTACTCCATCACTGCCCCCGGCCTCCCTCCCTCCCTCCCTGTTAAAGCAGTGATTGCCAAGAGTTTTGAGAGAATTCATCGCAGTAATTTAGTGGGAATGGGAATTATTCCACTCTGTTTCAAGGCCGGTCAGGATGCAGACACACTAGGATTGACTGGCCATGAGCGCTATTCTATTGACCTTCCAAGTAACATCGATGAGATAAGACCTGGCCAAGATGTGACTATCACAACTGACAATGGGAAATCCTTCATATGCACAGTTCGCTTCGACACTGAGGTGATTCACTCTTTCTTAAGCTCTATATTATTTGAAATTCATGTTTGATTATGGTGAAACATGGGGATTGCTCAAGTTTTTCATGGAAATTGAGGAAGTGATTTAGGAAATATATTCGTTCACTTTATTCAAGGTTTATGAACAACATGGACAAAATATCAATAATACCTTTGCTCATGCATGGTGTTGGCAATCCACTAAAACGTTGCGGATCATGGAAATTTTTGCCACTCTAGGAATATCAAAACAAAACTATTTGACCCTACCAAACTTTATCATAATCTTTTATACTAATGCACCCTACTCTGAATAAAATCTCATCGTTAAACTGGAGAGTTTTGGCCTTATTTACCTTGGCCTGTGCTTACGCATCGAACTGTAGAAGGGCTTGGAGCTAATAAAGTCGTGCAAGAAACAGATGGTAGGCTAAAATTGACCTTCGGGTCAGATTATACATGTGGCTGATGCATTTAGATAGCTGCGGCGTAGTAAAAGATTTTTTTTTTAGTGCCACTTGGATGCTATTTTATATCTACACGGGTAGGATTGAGTTGCCTTCTGCTGTCCTTTTTTGAGTGTGCATTATTGTAAATTGTTGAATGTTACATGGAAGTGGACACGCGGACCCTTTTTGCAATTATAGAATGCCTGTGCTTTTTTATTTTCCAACTAGACCCTGTATTTTTTTCTTCTTAGTTCTTTGTTAGTTCTTCATCTCCTCATACATGAAAGCTGATTCCGTTGATTAAAACTGCAGGTGGAATTGGCTTATTTCAATCACGGAGGCATTCTTCAATACGCTATTAGGAATTTGATGAAGCAGTGACTACTCCATCACTGCCCCCGGCCTCCCTCCCTCCCTCCCTGAGAATAAAAATCTTAATAATAGGAAATGTGAGTCATTTGTTTTGTCACTTCAATGCCTGACATGATTGTCGGCCAAAGGATAACTTCTAGCAATTTGATTCTTTTGTGTTGCTGATTTGCTTGAAACCACCCCGGTGAATTTCATGGTTATCAGAACATCCTTTGAGAAAAATAAAAAAATAAAAAAATTGCTTCTGGCAATTTGCGCAGCGGATGCTATGACAGTTACAGTAGCTTTTACTGTAATTGAGAAACTGCACATCATTCTAAAAAATTATTGTCCTCTTAAGGGGAAGATCTTTTCGCTGCGTTGACTCGAGCAAGCATAAAAGAGAAGAATGTAGGTGAATTCATGCAAAGGGAAACCTAGCAAATCTGGTGCAGGATAACATAGCAATCCTTGTTGCTCGAACATTAATTTAATTTTGTTTAACCTGTTTGGAAACAAATATGTGGAATTGATAGTATTTCTATTATAATTTTTATATTTGTATTAAAATACTAAATATGTAATTGAATTAAATTATTCTGTTCAAAAAATATCTGCGAAAATAATTTGAATTAACAATATTGATTGTTTTGCTCTTGGGTGTAGAGTCCACGCATATGCAAGATGAAGGATTTCCACGGAACTCACAACTGCCAGGCTTCATCTTATTCGGTTCTCCCATGAAACCAATCTGATGAGTTCAAATCGTAGAGGCAAATTGTTCCCAAATGTTTTGTTATGTCGGCTCATGGACAATTTTTACCCTTTTTTTAGCATTTTGGATGATTTGTTCGATGGAGCCCAGAATATCTCTTCCCACTCAAATAATATTATATTTTTTAAAAATTATTTTAATTTAAAAATTTAAATTATTAGGGAAGATTTTAAAATATAATTTATAATTTTTTAAATTTAATTTTGTACGAACTTATACTATTTTGTACTTGTGTTTTTATGTTTATTTTATATTTAATTTTATTAGCTAGAATAAAGATGGTGAGTTAATTTAATTCATAAAATTTTAATAACAGTTACAGTAGCTTTTACTGTAATTGAAAAACTGCACATCATTCTTAAAAATTATTGTCCTCTTAAGGGGAGGATGTTCTTTTCGCTGCGTTGACTCGGGCAAGCATAAAATAGAAGAATGTAGGTGAATTCATGCAAAGGGAAACCTAGCAAATCTGGTGCAGGATAACATAGCAATCCTTGTTGCTCGAACATTAATTTAATTTTGTTTAACCTGTTTGGAAACAAATATGTGGAATTGATAGTATTTCTATTATAATTTTTATATTTGTATTAAAATACTAAATATGTAATTGAATTAAATTATTCTGTTCAAAAAATATCTGCGAAAATAATTTGAATTAACAATATTGATTGTTTTGCTCTTGGTTGTAGAGTCCACGCATATGCAAGATGAAGGATTTCCACGGAACTCACAACTGCCAGGCTTCATCTTATTCGGTTCTCCCATGAAACCAATCTGATGAGTTCAAATCGTAGAGGCAAATTGTTCCCAAATGTTTTGTTATGTCGGCTCATGGACAATTTTTACCCTTTTTTAGCATTTTGGATGAATTGTTCGATGGAGCCCAGAATATCTCTTCCCACACAAATAATATTAAATTTTTTTAAAATTATTTTAATTTAAAAAATTAAATTATTAGGGGAAATCTTAAAATATAATATTTATAATTTTTTAAATTTAAAATTTATACTATTTTGTACTTGTGTTTTTATGTTTATTTTATATTTAATTTTATTAGCTAGAATAAATATGGTGAGTTAATTTAGTTCATAAAATTTTAATAAAAAATTCAAACTGTTACATAAAGTTAAACTGTTACATAAAGTTTAGTGAGCTGTAAAAGCCATAAGCATAAAGCGAGACTTAAAGCATCTAGAAAACTGCAAGGATGAAGAACATTTTTTGTCTTTAAAATGTTCTAAAAGCAAATATGATAATAATTTTGCCATTCCCACAAATTGTAAGTAATTTGTATTTGCAACGGGAAATAGGCTAAGCCATCTGTACTGCTTGAACACAAAAACAAGGAGACTCGTAAATATATTTAGGAGAAACAATTCTTCACCAGTTTAAAAGGTTCTAGGAATTGCTTTTGAATAAACTAAAATGCACAGATACCTTTGACCAGCTAATATCTTGGGCATATTTAATTTCCATTGTTGCTGGTAGAAAAAACATCACCCTGTTGATGATGAAAATGGCGTCAACTCTCTCTTGTTGGCTAAAGCTTCTTTTGAATGGAGATTTGGGAAGAGAGCTTTGAGCGATGCTAATGTCTCGTCACCTCCATATACTTCACCTGAAGCCACGTATAATTGAACGTCACTTTCGAAACCCAGAGCTCTCAGCATAAGACCAACTTCCTCTGGTGTGAGAGCATCTTACTTTCTTGCCTGTGTTCTCTGTCTGGGTTGCTTGTCTGCATTTCACATCAAAATAAATAAATCAGCCATGCTTCGTAAACTGTTTGGGATACGTAATGTGTTCTGAGAAACTACGAGAGGGCCTCACGAGCAAACTTTTTCACCTCTGGATCTCGTCAAGTTCCATCCTGACTTGCAGTTGTGATGCGAATCACAGATTTCTTCAATCGGTGGGGGTTAGACAAAATACAAGGAAAGATACTTGAGTTTTTTTGGGTTAAAAATATGTTTTGCGTTGTTAAGAGTATTTTTAGATTGTTTTTTGTTTTAATATTGAAATCGATTGAAAATTTGTATTATTTGTTTTTTTTATGAGTTATCAGTTTTTTTATTAAAGTTTGGCAAATTGACTCGAATTAATTTATATTTTTTTTATTTTTAATTAATTTTTTTTAATTTTATTTTTTAACATCATGTTTATTTATATTTATTGAGAATTGAATTTTAATTTGTTTGTTTGATTTATTTTCTATAATATTATTAAGTTCGTTGCAAATTTTATATATTAATCGGATTGATTTAGGTTAATTTAATATATTATTGTATTAATATTTTTTCAAGAAAAAATAATATAGTTTCTAGAATAAACAGACGGTGGGTTAAAAATATGTTTTGCGTTGTTAATAGTATTTTTAGATTGCTTTTTGTTTTTTGTTTTAATATTGAAATCGATTGAAAATTTGTATTATTTGTTTTTTTATGAATTATTATTCTTTTTATTAAAGTTTGGGAAGTTAACTCGAATTAATTTATAATTTTTTTTTATTTTTAATTATTTATTTTTAATTATTTTTTTTAATTTTATTTTTTAACATCATGTTTATTTATATTTATTGAAAATTAAATTTTAATTTGTTTATTTAATTTATTTTCTATAATATTATCAAGGTCTTATAATTTAGGTTACAAATTTTATATATTAATCGGGTTGATTTAGATTAATTCAATATATTATCATTTTAATATTTTTTTCAAAAAAAAAATAATATAGTTTCAAAATTTTTTAATCAAACTATTTTTTTTTAATGGTCGAGATTTTTTTAAAACTTGCCTAATTGATTAACAATATCTACAAAAAAAAAAAAAACACGCTAATGACTTGAAAATAATAATTGGAATAAACAGACAGTGAAAACAGAAGAACTTAAGTTGCAATCAAAAGACAAAAGGTTCGGTGTGAAAAAAATAAAAAAACACTATAAATAAACGGTTGAATCCATAGTGCGCAGATGGATCTCAAGACAACATTCTATTTTTTTTTCTAAATTGTCAATGACCATCAATCATATGCAAGCTGGCCAATGTGCTCCGATCAATTTCATTTAACATTTTAATTGTTGTTAAAGGATTTTTTTTAATAAAAAAATAATTATAAACTCAAAATATAATATTTATTGTATCATATTTCTTTTTAAATTAATACAATGATATATTATATTATATTCTTTTAAAATATTAAAAATATAATATATTAGATCAATTCAAGTTAATTTGTTAAATTTATAATTTAAATTATGAGATTGTGATAATTATATAAAAAATAAATTAAAATAAATTATAAAAAATAATTTTATAATTAACCTAATATATATAAAAAAATTATAACTAGCGAAATTCTATAAATTACTTCCTAGGCTCATTTAAAAATAAAAATACAATTAAAAAAAATAAATCTTCGGTGAATATATTTTTATCACCTTTAAAGAGTCACGGTTTTCATTTTTTTCTCTCTCTTTATTTTTGTTTGTTCTTTTAAAATGAATTTAAAAAATAACTAATAAAATAGCATTAGTTATAAATTAATTACCATGAAATCTTCTATCTTTTGTGGGTGATTTCAACGTACCTTTTCGTGTTTTGTTAATTGATTAATTGGAGGGAAAAATTAGCTCAAAAATGGGAAAATGAAGGGTTAAAATTGAAATAGAAAAGCAAGTGGTTGTCTGTATGGCAAGCGATATACAGGAACCGAATAAGATGCAAACTAGGAATGGATTGGAGTTTTCAGAACACTGAAAAGTTTGGAACACCGAGGCATTCCAAGACCACCATAGGTGTGGTTACAGGTATAGTTCTCTGCAGCTGATGATTGATACTGTAATGGTAATTGACGCTTTAAACTTGAAAATTGAAATATCTAATTATATTTATATGAACAATCTCTTGCAGAGCATGACCATCGCGTCAAAACTTATCATCATTTGCACCAGATTCTCAAAACCAGAAAGTACAAGATTCATGGTGATCATCAATATAGCCTCACCCTACCAAAATCATGATGTTCTTGCAAGGAGAAAGAGACTTAATGACAGGTTATATGTATTTATATTCGTTAACGGTCCTCTGGGATGCTACCCAAAAGCGGCTTCCAACCACCACACATGATACGTCCATCAGTACTGGTGCCACCTTCATCAGGCCTGCTCCTCTCTCTCAACCTCAGGGCACTGACCAATTGCTCCACAGAAGAGTAGTTTATGTTCTCCCTAAAATTCAAGATTTGCTTTAACTCTTCTTTTGTAACCACCACTCTAATCCTCACAGCGCCACCACCTTTAGATGCCGTTTCATCACCCAGATCGCCATCTTTATCAACATTAACCTCTTCATTTAATCTGAACCTCACCATCTTCGCCTTGCCACCTCGCTCTATCTTGGCCAACGGCACGAACGGTCTTGTAGTCTTTTCGATCATTTGATCTGCTTCGTTACTTTGTTGGTCAAACATGGCATTTTCTGATACAATCTTGCTGCTTGCAAAGCAGTTTCCCATGCTTATGAGACCAGAAAGAGTACAGAAAAGGAGGAGGCCAGGGAGAAGAGTTAAAAGAGTAGCGAAAGCATAAATCAGTAGAGAGAAAGAGAGGAGGGAAAGCACATGAATAAATAGAAAGAAATTGTTATATTTTCTCTCTGCTAGAGACAAAACATCACTAAATATGAATATAATGCCTTTGATACCGTTTTAATTTCTTACTCTTGTATTTATTATTTTAACTTCCAAATATTGGGTCATTTTATCTTTTTCAAAGGATCCAGTTAAGTTTCAAGGTTTTAACTTCAAGTTATTCGCCATTGAATATTTTAAATCATATTAGTTCTAGTTATAAAAATATTATCAACTCTAATCAGATGACTTAACTAGTCAAGGTAAAACTTCCTTTAATTACTATTATCTGCTTGTTTTTTAATTTCAACATAATATATATATATATATATATATATATATATTAAAAACATGTTAAACTACAAAAAAAAAACAAGCACTATATGTTTATAAACATGAAATAAAATATATTCTATGTCAGGTATATTTACATCTAAATTTTTGATAAAATAATAATATAAATTTATGCATTATTTTAGATATAACAATCTTTTATATTATACCATTTGGAATTCCTCTTTGTGCTGCAGGCCGGACAAGACTTTTCTCAATATCAAAAAAACCTTACGGGATAATAATGTTTTGAAAGAAGTAAAATTAGTTTATAATCTCGATTAATTTAATAATATTATGTAAAATAATAATAATAATAAATAAAATAAATTAAACTGAATAAATATAAATTAATTTATAACATGCAACCTGATACATAAAATTAAAATAATTTTATAAAATAGTTATAATAAAAAAACTAATTATTAAAAAAAATCTAAGCCAAGTGGAGCTAATTTTTTGAACTTGTAAAGTGGATCTAGAGGCCAAAATTTTTTAAGTTTTCAGTCAAGGGTTATTAATATATTTTCAAGTTGATTTTTTTTTTATCAACAGCATTGCCATGTTTAACCATAATAAAATAATACTTAATTTCAAAAAGCTACTAGCATGTAATTTATATCTACCGGTGTGTGGGAGGCTCTTGTGTATTTTGAGTGATGCATGTGGCACCTTCTAATGCTCAAGCTACCCAACTAACATGTAGTTAGAAGTGTTGCCATATTTTCTTTCATCCTGTGAGATGTATATTATCAACGATTGAGTGATTTGTTTTCAGTTGATTGTTTTTTTTTCTTTTCTCCCATAAAAAAGGTAGATTGATTTTCTTGTTGTGCTTTGATTATTTTTTCTTTTATTTTTTTATTTTTGTCCTTGATTTTTAATAAGAATTTTATTTCTTTTTAATTTAGTAATTTAATTCCAATTTATGATATATTATGCCTTTTAATTTGGTCCTTATTTTTTTAATTTTTGATTTGACTCTTCTATAAAAGTTGATTTTTACATTTTTTGTTATTGTTTTTAATTTTATCCTTGATTTCTATTTTTTTGGAGTTTTTTCCTCTCTTCAATTTAACCATTCCAATGAAATTTTTTATCCTTTTTTCTTATAATTTTTTTGTACTTTAACATTTTTAATAATTATAATTTCTTTTTGATCTAGTCTCTCAATTTCAATTTTTCATGTATTTATTTTTTTATTTAGTCCTTATTCTTTGAATTTTTTATTTTTTCCCTTAATTATTTTTATTAGTTTTTAATCTAACCATTCAATCCAGGTTTATGATTTGTTATTTTTATTTTTTTCTCATTCTTTTATTTTTTATGTAGTTATTTTTCTTTTCAATTAAAACCCTCCAATCAAAGAAATTTAGTTGCTCTCTATTTTATTTTTTATTTTATTTTTTCAACCTCATTCTTTTAATTATCATTTTTTTTCATGTAGTTAATTTTTTCTCGCTATGTTTTTTCATTTTTGTTGATATTGTCCAATTTTTTTATCCAATTTTGTGCTCTCTTTGTTTTTTTCTAGGTATTATAATATTTTTTCAAAAATATTTTTCAATTAATATCATTATCTTTTTTTTTTCATCCAAAAAAAATAAAATTAACTTATTAATCCCAGCCCAGCCGGTGTTATAATTTGAATAGTCTCTTACTGTTTTAAAATATTTTTGCAACACTTGGGTTTTTTTTTAAGTACGGACCCTTTGCATTAACTAAATATCATTTTTTTATAGAAAAGTATAGACACGTGTCAGTGCCTCGTTTAAGAACACGTGTCAATACCCAGTTGAAGCATGACGAGTCAACTGTCTCTTGGTTGTAATTAATGTTTAGTCTTGATGTAATATTGTTTAATGAGATTCTTTTTATCCATCCGTAGCATTTTTAGCTTTGCTAACTGGCAAGGTTTCTGCATGCGTGAGATTTGAATCTACGGATAGTGACACAATTAACCATTATTACCGGCCATTACACCTGGTGCTCAGGGCTTATTGTTAATCATTTGTGCTTTGAATATTTTTTATTTTTATCTTTATTTTTTAATAAAGATTTTATTTCTTTTTAATTTAGTTATTCAATTTCAATTTATAATTATATTATACCTTTTAATTTGATTCTTATTTTTTTAATTTTTTTACTCGACTCTTTTATAAAAGTTGATTTTTATATTTTGTGTTAGTATTTTAATTTTATCCTCGATTTCTATATTTTTTTGAAGTTTTTTTCTCTCTTCAATTCAACCCTTCCAATGAAAATTTTAATCATTTTTTCTTATAATATTTTTCTACTTTACCATTTTGAATAATTGTAATTTTTTTTGATCTAGTCCTTCAATTTTAGGTTAATTTTTTTTTTATTTTTTTTATTTTTTATTTGAGTTATTTTTCTTTTAAATTAAACCCTCCAATCAAATAAATTTAGTTGCTCTCTATTTTATTTTTTATTTTGCTTTTTCAACCTCATTCTTTTAATTATTATTTTTTATTTTCTTTTCATGTAATTATTTTTTTCCCGTTATATTTTTCCATTTTTTCATTTTTGTTGACACTGTCCAAATTTTTTTATCCAATTTTGTGATCTTTTTGTTTTTTTCTAGGTATTATGACATTTTTTTCAAATTTTTTTTAATTAATGTCATTGTCTTTTCTTTTACATCCAATTAAAATAAAATTAACTTATTAATCCCAGCCGGTGTTATAATTTTTCAATTAATGTCATCAACTAAATATCATTTTTTTTTTATAGAAAAATATAGACTCGTGTCAGTGCCTCGTTTAAGAACACGTGTCGATGCCCAGTTGAAGCATGACGAGTCAACTATCTCTTGCTTGTAATTAATGTTTAGTCTTGATGTAATATTGTTTAATGAGATTCTTTTTATCCATCCATAGCATTTTTAGCTTTGCTAACTGGCAAGGTTTCTGCTTGCGTGAGATTTGACTCTACTGATAATGACCCAATAAACCATTATTACCGGCCATTACACCTGATGCTCAGCGCTTATCGTTAATCATTTGAAGATTAAGGCCCTTTAATTGCCCTCAACTTAAGGTGCTGTCGCTACTTTGACTTTGAGAGATATTTTTCACGCTGACTGCCAGTCTTGGAGCAAATTAGTGTAGGATTCCTTGCATTTTTGGATTCCCTGATAGTGTCCTTAAGCTTTAAAATTAATCAATTGTATCCTTATATATATATATATATATATATAGTTGCCAACAACTCCACCTAATTTCTCACATATTCTTAAGAGTCAAACCACACAAAGAAAAGATATTTTACAAAACCCAAACAATAAAGGATTAATATTCAAAGTCAAACCAATAGAAAAAACAAAGAAAGAAAAAACACCAAGAAAAAGAAAAGAAAGAAAGAAAAACATTTAGAAAAAACTGTTCATAGTGAGGCAGCGTCATCTATTTCTCTATTTAACATTTTCACTTGTTAAATATTCCTTGAACAGTCTATTTTTCTTATTAGAATATTGAACTCTTTTTTTTTTCATTTTTCTTGTGTTCCAGGTTTTTATACTTTCTTAGTTTTTCAAGTTTTGTACTGTTTAGGTTTTTCACGATTTTTTTGTTTCAGGTTTTTCCAAAGAACTTGTCTGAAACCCACAAAACTCTAATCATTAAGTGATTTGATTCATCAATATATGACACTGATTTGAAAAAAAGAAAAAGCAACCATACATGTATCATAACCAATAATTATTTTAGTTTATACATATTATTAGAAGTATAGTTGTGGTTATGGTTGTTTTTTAAAATATTTTTTATTAAAAAAAAATATTTTTTATTTTTTAAAAATTATTTTTAATATTAACATATTAAAATAATTCAAAAATGCTAAAAAAATATTAATTTTAAAATATTTTTAAAATATAAAAATAAACAAGGCTATTTGTGTCCTCAACCCATATTATATATACACCTAATGATATCCAACTGTACTACCTAATGCTTGTATCGTGAACAGTACCATATATGATTAGAATCTTCACCAGCTCATAAATCTTAAATTAACAAAATAAACAACAACTAATGGCCAAAGTTTCAGAGATTTATCTGGGGTTGAAAATTTAACCATCAAATGATAGCTAAATATCAAAATGAGAGATGAACGTAACGGTAAAGCATTAATATTCTAGTGGTGGGTTCATTGCATGTGAGATGTCCAACTTCTAGGGCAGAAATTTGAAACTTCCCTGCGATTGCAAGATAATGTTATGCCACATTATTACTTTAAGG